CCAGGCGGAAATCTTAGTTTAAAGATAAAGAGCAGAGCCCAGCAAATAACTTTAAAACCAAACATATATAATAAAAGTAAAAATTTTAATTAGCTAACGTTTCGTTGTTTACAATGCAATATCTTCAGAGCAATCTAAATGAATTTACAGGGTATGGTATATATATTTACAAAATGATGGTTTAATATTACAAAAACGGTTACATATAGTTTGAAAGAACAAATGAATAGAAAGAAAGGAAAACAACTTATCAGTAACTAGTTATATAATAAGTAAAGATTAATAATTAATTATTATTCTTTATAACTTATTAACTAGTTACTGATAAGTTGTTTTCCTTTCTTTCTATTCATTTGTTCTTTCAAATTACTATGTAACCGTTTTTGTAATATTAAACCATTATTTTGTAAATATATATACCGTACCCTGTAAATTCATTTAGATTGCTCTTGAAGATGTTGTATTGTAAACAACGAAACGTTAGCTAATTAAAATTTTTACTTCTATTATGTTTGGTTTTAAAGTTATTTGCTGAGCTCTGCTCTTTATCTTTAAATTAATATATCTTGTATTCGTTTAGATACGAAGAAGATAAATGTCTCTTTTGTTGTGCGTGTGTGCGTGTGTGCGTGTGGGGGGTGGGGCAGTTGGAAAAGTCCACATAACATAACGACTACGAACACTGCCGGTTTTTCCCTTAGCAATTTGTCTATATATTGTGCCCAAGTTTGGGAGAAATTAGACAGGAAACGCGAGCTCTGTAAAATGTGTAAATCTGTTTTGGCAAAGGCATGCAATTGGAGAAAATTGCGGAAAAAAGACGGGAGACAGTTTGGCCGGGGTTTTTGCCGTGACAACTACTCCTCCTCCCTACTTAATTCTTTTATCACAATGCAAATTTCTGTTGTGAAATATTAATAGTCTGGATATCTATCTTAACTAGCTTATGTGATGTTTAAAACAGCCTCGTTCTCAGGCACACTCTATTACATCGACGCTCTGATATGGTCGTATTAACTCATGACCAATATGGTCGTATTAACTCATAGAGAATTTGTGACCAGTACTCAGTTGGTTTGTCATCGAAAACGTTTTCACGGAACAGGCATAGCACCTCTGAGATCGTGGGTTCTAGTTATATAAAGTACGCGATCGACCGACTTCGTTATATAAAAAAGCTAATGGCTTATTTCAACATCCTAAACTATAACTCTTTCATCGTAGCTGTACTCTGTGATCCGGACAGGAGTCTTCTGATTGGCTAATAGCTTACAGCTGAATATATCTGCAGGTTGAGCCTGCGGTACGTAATTTTATAGTAAGCGGTAGGTTTACATATGAATAAATTAAAAACAAGAAAAACAACATAAATAAACGATGGTTTTTTTAATCTATTTTGTGAAACATCAAACAAACCCAATACGTTGTTATTTTAACGGAATTATAAAAAGGTAAATAAAATTTTTACATTTGTTGCTGTTATTGACATTTTTTAATTGGTAGTTATTTCATTTTTCAAGAACTTGACGTTGTTTTGTGCGACCGAAATTAAATTTCGTGTTTATTAAAGCCAAAGGTTCAAAAGGTTTTAACATTAACGATGCAATACCCAACGAAACAATTATTGAATTCAGTTTTTGTGATATCCCAAATTACCAAGGTCTCAATAGGTGTTATCAGTCAGCCGTTAGTTTTACTTTGATCTCAGTACTTAGGTTATTAACTCGACAGGATGTAATAATATTGTGGTAAAACAAATTGTTGAACAAATTGTATTGTGCCTGGGGCGCTTAATTAATTGACGTATATTTCTACTTCCTAAAGGAAACAAAGACGTCACGCGTTCGAGCTTGAGAGTCGGATATCTTGAGGTGTATGTAAGCCTTGTTAAGCCCAGATCAAACGAGGGGATGAGAGTGCACAGAGCCGTAAATACACGCGTAAAAATCCACATCTTTTCAATAAGATGTGTTCGCAATGCTTGTACATGTTTCCAGTTGTTGACAAGTCTGGAACAAGTTGCTATCATCTTCTAACAAGGTTGATGAGGCCAATAGCTAGGTTAATTGTTTCACAAGCCTGATATCGTCTGTACATAACAAATTGATAACAACAAGCTCGTAGCAACTTGTTACGACTTACGAACAGCCCGTACTAGCCTTTTCGGAACATCTTAACTGTAGCAAGTCTATTGCCCGTCATCAACTTTGTAACAAGGTGATAACAACTTGTTCCAGACTTGTCACAACACCTGGAAACAAGCCGAATACGAACACATCCTGATGTAGTTGGCTTGACACCACAACCTTGTTACAACTTGTTTGAAGGTCTGTCACAACTTTTGCGTTTTTACGTGTGTATAAAGCTATGAGTTAACCAAGTCAGGCGAACTCGGCACGAATTTTCATGAAGATTTAAGAAAAAAACCCAAATTTACTGAATAGGTATTATTCAATTTTTGATGGCGGACTTTCTGAGTAAGCCTTTACTTCCATCTGCTTGAAATTTTAATATTGCGTTTCTCAAATTTTCTGCAGTTTAAATTTAATTTTACTTTACTCTCAACCACTTTCGTTTCGCTTCGCTTTTTTTGTTCACCTGCATGATCATGTTGGACCAAGAATATTTGTAATTCATTAGGATTGGGCGATGGAATACAATTGTGAGATAGACTATAGTATACAGGGTGTCTCAAAAAAACCCAAAATCATTGAAATAACGTATTGTTCGAATTTCAATGCCGTAACACATAGGATTTTGACAGGGTGATTAATTTGTTTTAAAAAATTAAAATATCTTTGTAAAGTGAACGTTTGTTTGCTCATGGGAATTTAAAAATGCTTCGTAAATTCGTGGGTTTAGTACTTTATGCCTGACATAACAAGTTTAC